TTAATACTTTTTACATTATTGTATTTCATTGATTGATGTATTAATTAGTCAGTCTACATTAGTCAGTTTGCCAACTGCTTTGTTTAGTTGAGCTGCTTTTATTGACTTGCTCACCTTAGATTGTTTTTAAATTGGTCTGCAAATAAACTGTGGCCTGATTTGACTGGAAAAGTGTGCTGTGCATTTATACTTAATCCCCTATTCTCTGAAACCCCAAAATAAAATCTTCTGAAAAGAAATTGTGTAAGAAGTTGCCTGATTAATTATGGCACTCAAAAGTGGTATTTTCTGAGTTCACCATTGCAGAGCAGTACCTAGGCAAAGTTAGCATCCAAAATGGCTGCTGCACAACGTAGAAAATGAGGCCGAGTAGAGCTAGTCATTTGGACTTCTGATGGTTAGTATCTCTTTAAAGGAGCAGCTCTCGTCGGTGTTTTAAGATATATGCCTGAACATGTTCCTTTTATGTTTTATGAAAGGAAATAGAGATGAAACTTCTCGTGTTTTCTGATCAGAAGGCTCTGAACCAGGCATGAGATCTTTCTCACTTCTGAGACAAAATGAACTCAGCATTTGTTGACAACAGATTCCACCTACACATAAATAGTCTCAGAGAGGTCTCTGAAAAACACAAGTGAACAAGGAAGTGACAATTGAAAATGGTCTAGTCCATAATTAACCCAAATGACTTTGTTGCCATAAATAAACATTTGCTGTCACAAATAAACAGTCTGGCAAATACAGTCCATCTCTGTGTAATTTAATTTCAATATTTCCTGTGAATATTTTGTTATGGAACAACAGTGAACAAAATGAAGACCAAGAAACACAGCAGACAGGTCAGAGATACAGTTGTAGAAAGGTTTGGCACAGGGTTACGTCAAACAGCATTCACCCAGACTTTGAACTTCTCACAGTACTGAAGCATTGAATCATATATTCTAGAAACAAATGGACGGCACACTTTAAAATTTTTCATTTGCCCAAAATTTTGATTTTCCTTCCGCTTCTACTTTTTAAATTTGTTATCACATAAAATCTCAACAAAATGCCGTCATGTGAAAAAGTTCACAAAGTACATGCAGTGATATACTCATCATCCAAAAAGATAAAAAAATATTGCTACACTACTGGTATTGTGCTATATTGACTACGTACTAGATAGTTTGGTTAACTTCCACCATATCAAAGGGAAGACTTTGGACCAAAGTAAGATTGGCCTCCATCTTAAAAGTCTAGATTTAGATGTCACTGTAAGAAAGGATTGTAAAGTAATTCTGTTTGCTATTATGCTCGAGGGGGCTTGGAGGGGAGGGGGGCAGGAATGGCAAGTCTTTTGGTTGCTCAGGTCACCAACCCTTGACCTTTGTCCCCAACCCTTCAATCTCTGACATCTGTCCTGCTTTCCCGCCTTCCCTGCCCCTCCTTGTTCCGCAACAGGAATTCAGAAGTGTCAAAGGGTAGAAATGTGGCTTCCTGATGCGCCGCAGATATTTTACAAAGATCAAACACCGTTGTTTAGATGATGGCTGCTCGGTGTGACAAATATGCCACGTACATGCACACCACACATCATATCAAGGCGTTTGCAGCTGAAAATAGACCTCTTTGTATGTGTAGTCTGCTTTGTCTGAAAAATAGGTCTTTAGGCTATGACATAACAGTGCGCCACAGAGAGCCTTCTGCTTTTCTAGCTGCTGTAGATGGCTGCAGAGGGGGAGGGGAGGGAGATAGTGGGGGAGGTGTTACATAGTGTACTCACACGCACAAAAGGCTTACTTATTTTCATCTGATGCCACAAGCTTTATTTACACACACAAACTCTCACTGAAGCTTCTTCTTCTCCTTCTGGTCTGTAAGCTGCTGGTTTGCAGCAAAATAAATACATAAATAAATAAATAAAATAAAAGTAAAAACCTAACACCAGACGCTCCACTGTATACTCCCCCCCGCTGCAGAGTGATCTATCTATCCTTGTGGTAAATGACACAACAAGAGGCGTGTGACTGCCAGCGCCCCTCCCCCACCCCTACATATTACCAATGCTTCTCAGTGCTGTCTAGAAAGGCCATGTGACCCTCATCAGCTTCCCCAGTTGGGGGAGGGGAGGCAGACTGAACCTGTTCTTTGTTAGGGAGGTCAGTCCCGGCTGTGTGGCAGGAAGCTACTCTACCGCACTGCATGTAATAGAAGGACAAGGAGACAAGAATGTTTGGGGACTTAAATAAAATTCTAATATGTTGGGATTATTTATAGGATTAGACAGCAGAATGTTAAGTGCGTTTGCAGATGTGGTTTCAGTTGCACCAGACAGTGATCTCAGACGTTTTTCAGTGGAGTGTGACAAGACTGGTATGCAGGGTTGGTATGAGACTAGTGTGAAAGTGAGAACTTTTTAAAGTCCCAGAGAAAGGTTGCTTTCTAAAAAAAAAAAAATGGTAGGATGAAAAAAAATAAAACTGCCCCAAGTGGAAAAAAAAAAAATCCCTGATCTTACTGAGGGGTGAAGACAACATGCAGTAGCAGGAATAGGTAGTAGCTGGAAACAGTTTGTGATAGACTGAAAAATTGTGAATCCAAGACGGAGGAGATGATTGCACACATCCCATCATATGCTTCAGAGAATCCATCTGACAGGAAACACTGGCTAACTGACATGTACATGTCACACTCTGTGTGTTTGTTTTCATTGTTTCTCCCGCAGCTGTCTGTTGGGAGAAAACTATCAAGACAAAATTCTAAAACTTTTGTTAATCTTGAGCACAGATTTAGAGATATGAGGATATGCAATGTTTTTTTTAAAGAGAATATCCAGTAGTGAATTTTTACTAACCTACTTTTGCTCAGAATAACAGCAAAATGTATAACAAGTTGACACACTATTATATATCTAATATCAGTTCTGCTGATCTTATAGCTCGAGAATACTACGTAAAGCATGAGATGTGCACTAAAGCTTCAGCTGAAATCTAGAAAGTCAAGAATCCCACATTTTTAGGGGGAATAAAAACACTAAAACTGACAGATGACAAAATGCTTATTTTTAAGGTCTACACTACGTTCATACCAGTTGTGGATCTTTGCGTGTGCATCATGTGCACATATCTTGTGCTATTTTTGTCAGATCTGACTGAGAGTTAAGGCAACAATGACACAGCAGTATGCTGTAACGCGAGTTCTTGATTTCTATGGTGTGATGTTGCAATCTTATAAACTCTCTAAGGTTTCCGACCTGTGCTGTTGTGTATCAGATATCTTGCAGTGTGTAGGTAATCACTTCTATTTACATTTCTAGCCAGTATTTTTTTTGTCGTTTTATTCCTGCATCTATCTGCCTGAATCTAATTTGTAAAGTCTATCCGTTTATGCAATTAGACTTTACTAATTGACATGACAAGTCAAACACACCATTTTACTCTACGTTTACTTACATTCTGCTTATTTGTGAATTTCTACCCTGTCATTACAGATTCAGTTAAAAATACTTAGGTAAGGCTTTTATTAGTATCATGATGACTGCAACTCTATGCAATGCACTGACTGCATTGTGACTGGCGACAGTGAAACAGAACAGGAGAAACAATGAGCTTACAATGGAATGACACATGTACAGTTCATGCAAGTTCATGTTTACTATCATCTGTTTTGTCTTTACTGAACCATTTTAAAAGAAAAAAAAATCTAACTCTCTGGTTTCAAGCATGATGCTCACAGTGTTTTATTTGGTTACTAGCCTCGATAATCCTGACAGAAAGGCACAATTAATTTTAGGATGGCAGCACTTTGGTACTGCAAACAATAGGGTGGAGTTTTGACCAAGTTTTTATAGTTTTGGGTTATAATCTTATTAAGTCAGTGCTTTTATTTGCCTCAGATATCATTTTGTGACTATATGTTCTACTTTTGCTTTTAATTTGGTTGTTGTGTTCAGAAATAGTTGCTCTTTTAGGCGCTCATTATTCTTTTAGAGTCTTTGTATCAGTCATTGTGTTAACTATTAAAGCACCCATTAGATTTGTGTAGTAAAGTGTTCAGATCCTTTTTGCAATATATTTCTATAGATACATTTTACCATTTTCGCTGTCTATAGACAGACAACAAAAAACTGATGAAAAACTTTAAAATTACTTGCAAAGTGTAATAACACACTATATCAGTCGAGGACTAAGTTAGGACATTCCTTACATTTACTCCTATAGAAAATTGTAGTCGTCAAACATGGGTATACAAGATCATGTGCAGATCTTTAGAGAATCAATTTTAGAAGCAGATTTGTCTGTTTAAACATTAAAGATCAAGTTTGGTGTGCTCATAACTGCTGAAGTGAGAGTGAAAACCACGGAGACATCAAAACAACTCTCTGAGGCATTCAGGCAGAAGACAGCAGTATTTTATCTGGTAAGGCATCAACATAAGTCTCAGAAGAATTTGAAATCAACCATTCCACTGTTTGGACATTGGTCTACAAGTGAGAGCTGCCTAAATGCTCAGTTCTGGGGGGAAACCAATGTATTTGTCCTTTCTTTAAAAAGGTGTTCCCTAAATCTTGAAATAACCATGCAAGGCCTGTATTTTGATGGTGGAACAAAAACTGAAATATGCCACTAGTTTAAAGTTTGCAGATGATACACCTTACATACCAATTATTAAAACACCTAACAGTGACATGAATAAAACATTTAAACAGAGAGTACATAAAAGGAAATGTTATTTAATATTATTTATTTATAACATTTTATTTTAGAAAGTTATTCTCAGTTACTCCATTAATTTGCTTACTCACGCTTGGTTTGGCTTAGGCTACTCAAATAAAAGCTTGATACAAGCACAATATGGTGGCAGTAGCACAAAAATGTATGCTGCGCCGCTGCAGCGGTTTTTACGGTAACCGAAGGAATGTGTCACACTGATGTCAACTTGTTATTTACTTTCCAAATCTGAATGACTGAGCAAGGCGAAAGGAGAATTAATCAACCGCTGGTTGACCGGGCAGGCGAAAAATAGCCGGGGAGTGGGGGAGGGGAGCTCGCTGAAAGCAGGCCCAGATAGGCAACGTGCAGAACTGTATTCTGCCTAAACTAAAATATATATAATAATGATAAGGTGAAGACATATTTTGATCAAAAAGCTTAATTTTATTTCAAACAAATGTCTTTACAGCTCAGATGCAATCTGTTTTCACATAACAGGGGCATGGTTTTAAATGTACTTGCTGTATGGTGAGGTGAGGCTTTAAACTGTGTTTTTACTTTAGGCATGTTAACAGAGATTAATTGATTTTATACTCTCAAAGGTGCTTTGAGTATTCAGGTTTAAGGTCAGGCAGCCCTCCTCCTCCCCCTTCCGCGGTGTCTACGTCTCTCCTGCTCGCTGCTCGCTGTCTCTGCGCTCCTGTTTCTCAGTGAACGGTGAAACTCCAGCGGAGCAGCCAGCCTGCAGCCACAGCCGCACTGAAACTCGGGCTTGTTCCAACTTTTACCGCCAGACGAAAGAAGCTTCCCGGTTCGCTCCCCTGCCGAACCGGTCGACTGTAACTGACTCTTAAGCGCGCTGAAATATGAGGGCAGGCGAAATGGGAGGAAAGTGTTTGCTCGCTTACTGAAGTTGTTGGAGGTTCTCCTTGTGGAAGAGGAAGAGAGAGGTGGCGGCGGCGGACACCACGAGTTCACTCTCACAGTTAAAGGTGGGTAAAGGCTCAGGATGCGCTGACTGCTCGGCTCTTTCTGCCTGGCTTTTATAAAGACTCTTAGAAATAGATTATACGGCGTTCAAGCAGGAGCTTGCCGGTGTTTCTTAGCTTTTAGTCACCCCAGTCACTCCACACGTGTGTTGTGAAATTCCTGTTTGCGTCTTTTAATTATTATTGCTTATCCAAAACAAGCCAAATTCACGGGTCTGCATTTGTTTGTGTTTTCATTCTCCATGTTATCTTGCTTATTTTGCAGTAAGTTTTTGAGGATTAAAGATTGTTTCATAATTTGTGACAAAAATAACTACACCCCCATAAAAGCCCTCCCCCATTTGAATGTACACTCTATTGTTTTATTAAAGACTATATGTCAGGAGTTATAATATTATATTGGCATCCAGAGTTATGAAGCGCATGTGTGGGGGAGGGGAAGACTTTCAACTGTACAAGAGACTGCCACCAGTTTCAAGGGACAGTTTGTGTTATTGTATAACTACAATCTAAAGCTGCAGCTGCAGCTACTGAAGCTTGATTGACAGGTCTAAATTATATACCTTGGTTGTAATTCTTGGAAGATGGACAGAAAGCAAACAAAATACACTATTAACATGTCTGACCTGGCGTTAGACCGTAAAAGTGTTCATTAAGACATTAGAACACCCTGTGTGTGATTGCTTCAAGTCAGTTACTTGTTATCAGGTCCAAAAGTTGTGGGTTAAAATCTTCTACAATTTATTGTCATGCCATTCCTACATCTTGGTGTCCTATTTTGAGATGTGAAAGTGACCAGAGATTTTATAAGCGTGTGAAGTGCATAGTAGTGCCACATCTCCCGCCCTCCCCCACATGTTGCTATGCACTGCCACTTAGCTGGCTTAATCCCCTCTAGATCATCGTCGCAAATTCACCTCAAATGCTCCCGACCTTAGTGGAGCCGATGGTGGTGCATGTGTGACGCTAATGCTGGCTAATGCATATTCCACACGTTGAAAAGATCACATTGAAAACACTTTGGAAATATTCGTGGTCAACAGAGACGACCATGGGTTGGAAGTATAATGAGTGTCACCCGTCACTGTAATATTTCTGTAGTCACTTTAATTCTGAAGGTGCTTTGGTACGAGCAGCGTGTTTGTAAAGCTCAACACTGCAGACTTTGCTACCAGAGCTGATAGCCTGAATAATAAACCCGCTTACATCAGCTTTTTAGACTTGTGTTGCTCTAGTCTATACAGAGCAGACCCCAAGTAGATACAATGGATAGATATAATATTCTGTGACATAGGGTTATAAAAACTTGTACTGAATTTAGCAAGTGTTTAGTGCGGTTTGGCTTGTGCCTGTGTATCAAGGTTAAAATATTACCATACTGCAATATGTAATAATTGCATAGCCAATCCTTGTTTTACATTACCTTGTCTGAGTTCAGTTAAGTTGTTTTCTTTACTAAAGGTCTTGAGAATTTCACTCACGGCGTTTCATTAGAATTTATTTATTGGGAGAGCATGGGTCGGAATAATACTTCTTTTATATTAAGTTTTATTTTCCCCCTCTAATTCCTCTTTTATGGCTGCTGATTGTTACAGGATAAGGACTCACATTGTCTCTAATTTATATGACGAACGTCCAGTCATGTGTAGTTCTAGAGGGAATTTTGCCACCTAACATAAGAATCCCTAATTTAATGAATGCCACCTTCTTTAATAACATTGCCAGTAGCATGTTTTTCCTCTTTATTTATCATTTTTGAAGTGTTATTGATGCACCATACACAAGATTGACAATTAACACTTAAGGAAGCTGCATGCTTCACCACTTTGTTGTTTTTAGCAGCTGTGAGTGAAGGTTTCACACTTCTTTAAGAAAGTAGGGTTTATTTTAGATATTCATGTCATAATTTACAAATTCACTATGTTATAAGCAATATTTATGTGTTCCTGTTATTTATTTTTATCACCATACTTTCTCATAACATTAAATACAAGAAAAATGAACTGTTTAGCAATGGTAACCAATGAAATTGTTGTATGCTGAATGAAAATGACAACGTAAACTGCTGAACTGGTTACATTCAAGAGATTACACGTAGATCTGGTCCTGTTTAAACTTGACTTTTGGTGACGTTGAACAGAGATCTCAGTTGTCCCCCATCTTCTTTTATTTTATTGTGAACTTGGTTAGAGTGAAATGCTGTATGGAGTTATAATGTGTGACAAAACTACTTTCTTAAATGCAGGTTGAAATTGTCTGGGAATACCCAAAAACAATAGCGCAGTGTGCACCCACGTCAACGTCAGCTTTTTCATACTTATTGCTTAATTGTGTACAACGCCTGCTTCAATGGAAGCAGATGAAATTTGTGGTTGAGATGACTGAGATGTCTGTCTAGGTGTCAGGTTTCAGTTGCTGCAAGACTGAGTGGGAGATGATGAATGCTTTTGCTACTCCTGAGTCATTTGACCCAGGTGTTATGTCGATAGTACCTTCATGTGTTAAAGTCAAATGGCCTTTAATAGGTCTGCTAGTAGGCCTTTAATCGCGTGTCAAAGAAGCTGTAGTAAGCGAGGTATTGCAGATAGTTTGAAAGTATCTTCTGGTTTATTGTTAAAGTAGCTAGTCTTCTGATCGTCTTGTTCAATGACAGCAATGCCATAAGGACACTGTCTTTGATTTGAGTGAAATAAAGAACCAAAAACCTACTTTGCCTCGTCCTCTTTGTCGTGCCTTAAATCTATTTTGAAAAGCAAGATTCAAATCTGTTGAGTGTGAGGCAACAGAGCTGAGCCTCTGGGGTGGGTTGAGTTTAAAACAGAAAGGCATCCTCTGCTAAAAAGTAGGGCAAGGAAGTCCCCGAGAAGAGCTTTGTCAGTCTTGTGGTGCAACACTTCTCTGTTTCAAGCTATCCAAATATTTCTGTAGCAGTATTTATTTATGATGGGCTGTGGGGGAAGGTAAGCCATTTTCTACCCCTAGAGAGACTTGCAATGTTCATGGGCTACCAGCCAACTGGTTCACCAGTGGTTACTCTGAGATTACACCCAAAGCAGTATTGGCTTATTAATGTCCGTATTTATGTATTTGGTTAGATTTGAGATTTCTTTTGGCAGTTTATTATTGTGTTAAGTTTTGTGTGTTTCTTTGTAGGTATTTGATTTGAAATGGGTCCACGTGTATGCCGTTAAAGCATTTTAATATTCGGCTGTTTAAGTGTTAAGCATGTCTGGCTCATTTGTGCCTTGCACTTTTTCTTCATATGTTTTATGTATTTAACATCGATCAAGACTGCAGGCATCTAAGCTGATGTGCCAAGTGTTTAAAAATAGATTTTCAGAAACGAAAAGGAGTGCACTGTAACTGATAATGCTCGTGGTAACTGTTCAGGAAATTGTGAAAGAACGTGCATGCCAGATTGAGAAACCTATTTAGTTATTATGTTGCGCTTTTAATTATTTTTCATCTTTATACACACCAGTATAGATTATGCCATTTTGGTTTACCCTGTATTGCTCTTAAGACAAATTAAATATCTCACTGTAGGATATCCTTGAGTTAGAAATGCCACGGTGTTGTGAGGTTTACTCAAAAAATATCACAGGATGACGAAATTCTTTTCGTCTAGATAAGAAAAGCATAAATTTCAATGCTACAGCTAAAGGTTGTAAAAATAAAACAATTGTGGTAATGCTATCTGTAACATTTTACCATAGCTTTAACCTAAGAGGGATTAGTGGTCCGACTTTATCTTATAAAGTTGTTTCCCAGGAGTTTAATTTTATATATTTTTAAACGGTGAAGTAGTACAGGAGCTTTCTTTCCATTAATTGGCTAGCAATGGAGTAATAGGTGAAATATTTCAAAAGGGGAGGTAGGGTCATAAGTGGACATTACTGTGCTTCATATCTTTATTAAAACACTTGGATTATTTTTTTTTTGCAGTTTTAAATGATAATAAAAAAAATCTTCAATAACTTTCTAATAATTATTTTCAAACCTCCAGATAACATCAGTGTTTAAACTTCTCTGTATAAATTTCTGTTGCATCAACATTGACTTTGCCTTACAGGATTCTAACTTGCAGTTTTTCTTGAATTCACTTGCGTTCATGACTCTTTATGAAACTTAGACAGTGAGTTATTACTAGGTCTAGTAGCCCTTTGGAAGCAATGAAGTGTTTTTGAATTGAATTAAATGGAGAGAATGGATTTATATTCATAGTTTAGTGAAGAATGTAGAAATGCAGGAACTGAGATGTTTGGACTGACCAGACGGATGTTAATCGAGCAAAACATGTGTTGAAACTCGTTCTTATCTTGCTGAGCACTGTGAGATTACCATAAGATGAAAAAGCTGGATGACTTCAGTGAGAAATTGACAGGACTGTCTTAATGGCACCGTTTCAAAGTGATGTGGCTAAAAGTGAATGCTTTGCTGTCGGTGTGGGCATGTTTCTGATGGTACAAACAAGACTGAAATAAATCTGAGAGAAAATGATAGGGTGATTTTTTTTTTCTTTTAATTTTGTTTAATAACTACCTTAAACAACCATTTGGATGTGTTTTGACTTAGGTTGTTAGTCATTTTAAAGAGGAGAAACATTTAAATGACATTCCAATAAAACAACACTGCAGCACATTCTTGCTTGAAGACGGCTTGTTAGCACTAGAACTACCCAGTTTTCTTATGAGTTGTTGCTATGCTAAAACTAAACAAGGTTGCTGTAACCTTACAGACTGCAGAGCATTGCTTGAGTAGATGTCACTCGTGGCATCTACTCAAGCATTAATACTGCAGCATTTGAACATTTTGGCATGTAGTCTGAGAGTTGAACTTACTGAGAATGAGTTTTATTTCAGGGTTTCCATTTTACAACCCTGCTCTTGAAAGACGCACAAGGCTGTTGACACGTAAATCGTTATCTGGTCTCGCCTCATGTTGGAGTCTGTTCTCACCACCCTTAAGAGTGCCTATTTGAAACAAATATAAACATGTTTCGC